GGGTGGGGTGGGGGGTGCATGAATAAAGAATGTATGTCATATGCAAGAACTGATGATGCAAAAATATATTACATATATCGACAATGGAACTATGTATTAATCCCATTATCTATGAAATGAATCATATTATATTATATGTTCTCATAAGATGAACAAGAATCAGGGAAAATGTGTCTTTCAGTAAATATATATATATGCAGCCTGCTTTGCAATGGAAGGATTGCAACTTCAGTTCACTACTAAATTCTTTTGTGTTTGCTTTTAATATTCCAATCAACAAACAAAAACTACGAAACCCCCTACTATGAAAAACTGAATTACTTGTGTGTTGATCTCTGTTTCCAGAATTTCAATCGTTTTTTCCCCTGTATGAAGAACAAATCCCTCTTTTGTTCCTGCAATCAAATTTCCTGTTGGAATTATCTCACACATACCTTGATCTCTTAAAAACATGGATCCATTTAAAGAGAATAGAGCAATGCAACATGATATCCAATATCTGAATTCAGTAACTACTTTCGGCTCCCTATCTTAATTATTCTATACAGATCAAAGAATAAACTAGATCGATCACAGGTTTGAGAATTCTAGGATTATGCATGGATAGCCAATACCTAGAATACCTTTTGTAGCCTATTGATTGCAGAAAGGCATTGCGATAGGGAGATTAATGGTAAAAAACACCCATTCTGGTTACGCTCATCAATTTTCAGAAGCAGCTTGGACTAGTAAAATAAAAAGGTAGGGGGTCTCTTCAAACGTAGGACCAATAAGTAATGATCCCACCCCATGTAGCATATATACGCTATTGCTGATTTGTCTAGAGTTAGTTATTGATTCACCACCAAATTAGACAATTTAAGCATTCACTCAATAGTATAATCTGACTTTCCCACACGAGAGGTTTAACTTTAACCCAAGATTTTACGTTTTAATTTGTTGGATGACGTCCAGTGAAAAACCTGCTGTTGAAGAAGAAATGCTATCGATGATTGAAAAAGAGCACGAAAACAACATTTTTTGTGAAAAAGAAAAGATCAAAACAGCTTCTAGATGTGCTTTTCCTTTGACGCCAATTAAATATATATAGTCAAACAGTACAATATTGAAGAATGATCTTCTAAAAACAGCAGAAGAAAAACGAAATCGATTAGTGTTAAACAACAACATGCTACGTACAGTTTTGTAAAACTAAGATGTTGCTTAATTTGTAGGTCAGAAGACTAATAAAGAAGAAACGAGAATATAATTGAATATACCAAGAGCAGAAGAGGACACGAGAATTAATATACAAAAAAATAGATAGAGGACAATAGCGCGCGCATTAATTAATTTGAACTGTCCATCTCTCGTCCTTGTCAAAACAATTGACAAGTAGAGAAAACCAACAATTGAAGAATGATTCTTCCAAACCCAACCCAAGTGTAATAAAACAAAGCAATTGACAAGTAGAGAAAACCCAAAGAAATAAAACAAAGCAATTATTTATTTATTTTTCCTTTCTTGTTCTTCTTAATTAGAAGGCATATTTTATAATCAGCGAGGATGTTGGACTACGGAGAACTGTTTTTATTTTCAAATTTTAATGAATTAAATGAGTCATCTCCCACCATGCATGGTTTGTTTACTGATTTTTGAGAATCCATATATCAACTATGAGAAAACTTGTAGATTCTGCCAAGTAAATAGCAGGCGTCCAAGTTAATTAGGAATTAGGACAGGATGGGCTAGACCCAAATCTATCTGCAGGTCCCATCCCGTTATATATGTACGTATCTTGTGAATTTGCATTTGGTTCAATACCAAACTCAGGGTAGAAACTCAGTCCAAATCCTGAAACCCATTCCACTCAATTAGTACTATTTATTTTTGACATTAGACTGGTCCAGCTAGCGCAATACATAATTAATACTTCCAATAATGATTTACAATTTACATAATTTTTTGTGTCTAAATTTAATTTGAAGGCCTGATATTTGTTATTAATTAAAAGGATAATCCACCCACAATTAATTATGTTTTTAAGAACACCTATAATATCTTTGTTGGTAACAATATTTAGACACCGTGTAAATTAAACCTTACCAAAACACTGTTGTATTAGCACAAATACCTCGGGTATGTTTTGTCCTTTGCTTAATAAACTTTTGCATTCCTTTCTATGTTCCAGCACCGGGGGTTGGGTGACTTGGGTCTATTGGTTATACATATCCAGTTTGTTCGAACCTAGAAACAGAATCGCATTTCCCCTGGGCTGGCATGCAGGTCAATGCTTTAATTGTTTGCATCAAATGAGTCAAAATGTTACATTACAAATATACAAAATTAAAAAAAATGTAAAATAATGAGATTTTATTGATCTCTAATATTATATATTTATCATATTAAATAAAAATAAGTGACATTATTATTAACAATGAAAATAGTTAAACATTTAAAAAAATAAAATTTCTACTCAAGACCAATATTAGGGGAGAAACTTGGCCAGATGGTATATTCAAGGTTAAGTGGTGCAACCATAGATTGAAAACATTGATAATATCACAAGTCAATTGGGAGAATACTCATAATTCATTTCCGTAAGGGCATGCATAGTGTTTGGGTTATGGTTGAGCTGGCCCCAATTGCCATGTGTTATTCCCATGGCCGCCTTATCACCTCAGCCATGTCAGCACCACGTCACCTTCACGACCCTCCTTATCACTTCGGCCACATCAGCACCATGTCATATGGATAAGCGCAACCAAAACAAGAGAACGTCGCACGAATGAGGACAAATCCGTTGGGGATTAGGTCTTATCCCGAAGACTTCGGCGAATAACTTCATCCCGACAACCCCAGAAGCCTCATCCAACTAAGACACGGATCTTTGGCTATAAAAAAGAACCTCCCGCTCAAGGTAAGGGATCCAACTTTTGACTTCCATACCGTTACTCTGCTTGGACCGGCATTGTTCTCTAACTGCTCCACTTGATCGACCACCTTTCTCAACTGACATGAGCATGGGAGTACCTACCTGGGGATAACCCCTCGGGCCTCTAACTATCTTCTTGGTTTCATATCTTGGAGTGCGGCTTCATCCTTTCACCTCGGCTCTGCCCAGTTGGCAGGATTATCTGACTGCAACCTCGGTTCAAGAACCACCTCAGATCGAGCAGCATTAGATTGGCGCCGTCTATGGGAATCGTACGAAAAACCATTCCTAATCTTCTCTCTACACGACCAAGAAAGATGCCAAGAAACGCTTCGGAACGATCAACAGGTCGATCCCCATCTCAGGGATCTTGCTCTCACCACAACCCTCCACTACGCGAGTCTCAGCAATAGCCTCCGCCTCAGGCCATGGTCGATCCCGCCTAGTTTCAGGTGATGCAACAAAAGTTGACCAGATCATGGCCATGATGCAAATGCTGGGTTGCTTGGCACAACCTATGCAGACCGTCCCTCCTCTTGTCCCGACGCTTACTACGGCTCATCCTCGCCTTAAAGACCCCAAAAGGTGTCGGCCAAACAAGAGGAAGGCACGGTCTGAACAAGAAAGACAAACATCAAGAAAATCGGGCTCCTCAAGCCAGTCTTGTGGACATGACGATCGCAGCAAATTGCACCAAACCACTTGTGTACCCACCAAAGAAAGGTTCAACAAACGGACGCCGCCCCACTAGCTTTCCATTACCGAGTCTAATTCCTTCAAAGACTGCCCAGCGGTCCTCAAGAAGGAGAAGATCACACTTGTGGTACCAGTTCACAGCCAACCAAAAGCACTAGAAGACTTTGGCAAACCTCATGCAAGTGTGAAAGAGGAAGGGAGAGTCTCTGAGAGAGTACCTAGCGAGATTCAATGCCGAGGTCTTGCAAGTCCGATCGTTGAACTAGTCAATAGCCATCATAGCCATCCAACATGACCTATGTCCCTCTCCGTTCGACTTCTCCATCTCAAAGAACCCTCCAAAGACCATAGCCACATTGATGACCTATGCTCAAAAGTACATCAATGCAGAAAAGGCACAAGCACAAATGAGGGAGGAGGAAGAACGACCAGATAGGAAGAGATGTCAGCTGGCTCGAGACAACAAGAGGTAGGACCGCCAATAGAGGTCGAGGACTCCACCTCTAGCCGAATGGAATTTCATGCCGCTGACTACACTGGGTCTGAAATTTGATGTAGATTCGTGACAACAAGTACGTCAGATGGCCCGAGAAGATGAATACTTAGAGCAATAAAAGGAATCGGGACAAGTACTGCGAGTTCCACCGAGACCACGACCACGAGACCAATAACTGTCATGACCTGAAGCACCACCTCGAAGACCTAATCAGTCGCGGCTACCTTGGGGGCTTCATTAACATAAAATAAGACAGGCCAAAGGAGGAACCACGCCCCAGACCCCTAGGTCAAGCTCCCTCAGCTGGAGTCATTGTTGTGCTCTCAAGAGGGATGGCCTCCGGAGGGGAAAGCAACTCGGCCCGAAAGGCATATGCACGTCTGTTGGAAATTGATGACAGAGAGCAGAAGAGAAGATGAGAGGACCCGATCACCTTCACCGACAACGATCTCAGGAGGTCCAGACCCTGCACAACGACACACTAGTGATCATGGCCAAGATAGCCAACTTTGAAGTATGACGCATCCTAGTAGACATAGGGAGCTCAACCAATATCTTATTCAAAGACGCCTTTGAATAGCTCGGCATTAGCAAGGACCGCCTCACCCCAGTCAACACTCCCCTGATGGGTTTCTCCGAGGAGTCGCTCATGCCTAGAGGGAAGATTTCACTGCCCTTGTTGATCGAAGATGGTGAGATAACCTCTACGGCAATGGTGGACTTCATCGTCGTCCGCTATCTCTCATCCTACAACACCATCCTTGGTCGGCCAACCTTGAATGCTCTATAGGCCTCTATCTCCATAATCCATTTTGCCATGAAGTTCCCGACCTCGTACAAAGTGGAAGTGGTGTGTGGAGACCA